GACCATAGATCAACGGATTGAGCATGGGGATCACCAGAGTGTAAAACACAGAGGCCATTTTATCAACGGCAAAGGCATGGCTGGATTTGGGTTGCAGGTACATAAACAGTAATGTTCCATAGAACATGACCACCACAGTCAGATGGGAACTGCAGGTAGAGAAGGCTTTGTACCTCCCCCTAATTGAGTTCATTCTGAGAATGGCCACGAGAATGAACATGTAGGACACAAGAACCATCAAGAGGGAACAGAGCAAATTGCAGCCTGAAAAGATCAAGATGATCAATTCTAACTCATGTGTGTCAGAGCAGAGCAGCGATATTAGGGGGACAGAGTCACAGTAAAAATAACTGATGACGTTAGAGCCACAGAAGGACAATTTAAATAATTTAGTGGTGAGAAATAGTGACACGAAGATGCTGTAGAGGTAGGGAGGGAGCACCAGCCCCCAACACACTTTCTGTGCCATGATGACCACGTAGAGAAGAGGTTTGCAGATGGCTACATAGCGGTCATAGGCCATTGCTGATAGAATGAAGAGTTCAGTGATGATAAAAATCTCAAAGAACGCCAGTTGGGTGGCACACCAATTGTAGGAAATCATATTTTTGTGCACCAAAAAGTTGACCATCATTTTTGGGCCAATAACAGTGGAGTAACCAAGATCAGTAATTGACAAATGTCTAAGGAAAAAGTACATAAGAGTGTGTAGCTTGGAGTCCAAATGGGTCAGGATAATCATGCCCAGATTGCCTGTCACTGTGACCAAGTAGATGACCAGGAAGATTCCAAAGAGAGGCGCCTGCAGCTCAGGGCTGTCTGTGATCCCCGTGAGAACAAATTCAGTCACCTTGTGCTTGGCAGTATGATTGTGTTTCTCCATGGGGTCCATCTTTGTTACCTGGGTATAAAATCAATACTTTTTATTTGCAATGCTATCATCTAGGAGAATTTAATACATGATATGTGAGTCATTTTCTTTGTCTAAAATTATAAACACAGATTCATCTTCCCATCAGGTCAAGACCACACCTACCTATATTCACATTGTAATGTAAGTGCATAATGATCAGCTTTTTAAATTGTTATGTAAGTTCTGATATTAACCTTTTCATTGCTGAGACAATAGATTTCAAAGATACACATCTCAAATAAACATATTTCTAGCTAAACAATTAGATAAGTAGCTGGGCTGTCTTATCCATGAAATTCCCCTTTGAGAAAGCCCTGAATGATATAAGTAACTGCCAGCTTGATTGACCCTACTTTTCCCTTTCTGAATTGAATAATTCCTGCTCTTATGTTTTAAATTAACCAATAATAATTTACTGTAGGCGCCTCACCCTTGATCACAATAAAAGCAGAACCACGCTGCCCTCTCTTACTCTCATTCTTTCTCTCTTCCTCACCTCAACCTCTCTGTGTGGCCTTGGGTGTGTCATGCACCCTCCAGAATGTGAGTAACAAGACTTTATTTTCAAGGTTACCTGATACCGAGATGCATCTTGCAATCATAAAAGAGTCACAAGTGCTGGCCCAGCCACAGCACTAGCTCTGACCAGGGAAATATCTGTGCAGCTCACCACAAATAATAGGGCCCACTCGAGTGCCCACAGGCAGTTCTGGTTGATAGACTCACTATCAACAGGCTGAGATCAACACAAAACACATTCATTGAAACTTTGGGAAACTGCTTTAAAGGGACAAAACATTTTGAAATGATTGCTTTGATAGTTTCTATGGCCTACTTGTTTTTTACATGGTCTTTTAAAATTTATCAAAATATATATTATATTTGAACTTTTTAAAAATATTCAGATAATTTTTAAAACAAACATCTATACTCAAACAATAAACCTTATATTATTGACAATCATCTTATCTGTTCAAAGTTGCAAGGCATAATAATAAGACTCTCTGTTGGTAGAATGATGAGTTATGTGGTGAGTAGAAAACCTGACAATTAAACATAGATTTCAATGTTTTTCACTTACTATAACCTCAGCTTGTTTATCCAATACAAAATCCAATGCCATAATGTTTTAATTTTCAAATTTTGCTATTAATATCTTAATCCTCATTTGCCATATTGATTGTTTCTGACAATTGAATCACCTTTAATGGTCTTCCAATCACACATCCCTCTTCTGAAAAAAAAGGGCTTGATCATTCTGATTATTTATGAATCTGGAGATCCATGTAAATAGATCCACTGGAAAGAAGAATGCAAATGAATACCAAGCACTGATAGGGAATTGATAATTTGCCAGGGACTTTGCATGTATTAAGTCACACAATCCATACAACAACTCTAGAAAATAAATAGCACAGTTGTCCCTGGTATTTGTGGGGAATTGGTTCCAGCATCCACTGAAGATAGCAAAATCTACAGATGCTACAGTCCCACAATCCACCTTCCTTATTCACTGGGGGTACTCTATCTCTAGATTTGGCCAACTATCACTGGTAAACGTAGTGGTGTAGATGCTGAGAAAATTAAAAAGAAAAAAATTTGCATATAAGTGGACCCATATAGTTCAAAACGTGTTGTTCAAGGGTCAACTATATGAGCATAATCCATTTACATGTCAAGAATAAAATAACTTAATCAAGATCACCCAGACAATAACTGGCAGAATTAGGGTTCAAATAAAATTAACTTTCTTAAGGAGATATTTTCACAAACATGGCATTCTTCTGTTCTATCATGGTCATCCTGAGTACACAGGCAATGAAAAATGGAGAAGGGGAGGCACCCGGTAAGCAAGGATAGAAAAAGATCCTTGTTAAAATAGATGGTAGAACTTTAAGTTCATTTGGAAAACTAAGATAGTCTAAATGCATTGCATCAGAGTCCATACAAAAGGTCTGTCCCATACATCATTAATCTTGTTGATCAGAAAAATATACTGAAAGGGAAGAAACAGTTTTGCAGAGCATAATGCCTTCAAGATCTTTGGTTATGACAGGGTTTAATGTGTATGCCCTGAGAAATTTGCAGGCCAGTGTTTTCTACTTACCTTACTGGAGAATTTGCATTGACTTTCTATTGTTTCAATCCTCATTGTCTATTGCAGAATGTTTTTAAGTGTTTTTCTATCCCTTTGAGACTCATTTTGTTAAAATTTTGATCTCATTCAAAGATTAAAAAAAAAAAAAACATTGAACATAATTGCCTTAGGGAGAGTGCCTTGGATATCTGTTAGTTATTCTCCAATGTCTCATTAGGAAAAGTCAAAAGTATTTCATTTCCTGGTCTAATTGAACAAACTATGCAGTATCACTAAACATTGGAAAACATAAATATACTTTGGTCAGCATCTCAGTTACACAATTTAATGCACATACTAGGTATGTTGCACATGCACACAGTATATGAGTAAGTGAAAAATGACTTTGTAGAAAAAGATCATGCAATATTTGATAACATATCATTCATTAACCAAGAATGTTTTTGATGGATATATAATTGTAGGTTGACAAAAAACAATGTTTTATGACATATTGTTTCTGCAAAAAGATCAGTGATAACTTTTTTATTTATGTGTTCATCTTCATTTATATCTTTCATTTCTATGTCATTAATGCTTTTATCTTCAGTTTTCAGAAACTTGACATGACATGCCTTGGTGTAATTTCCTGTTTATCCTGCTTAGAATTATTTTAGCTCTTTATATCTTAGTATTATCTTTTATAAAGTTTGGAAAAAATTCTGGCCAATATTTCTCTCATTGGTTTTCCAATCATATATAATCTTTTATTTCCACTTTCCTACATTTAAATATACAGTATTTAGGTTGCTATTGTTCTACAGATCACTGAAACTATTTCTGTGGTGTTTATTCAGTATTTTAGCTTTTCTCTTTGAGTACCATTATTGTGATGTGTTTAAGTGTAGCTATCATTTCTTTTTCAGTACACAATATGCTGTTATGCTCATTCAATAAATATTTTGTTCCTAAGTTTAGTGTTTTTATTAAATGATTCAGTGTTTGTAACATATTTATAATACCTTTTAAAGTCCTTGCCTGTTAATTATATCTTCACTGACATTTCAGGATCTGTTTTAATTATCTCCTGGTTGGGGGGTCACATGTTCCTGCCTTTCACATTTGTCTAGTATTTGTGACTAGATGCTAAATACTGTGAAGAAATACAAAATAATGAGTGCTGCAGTTTTCTGTTGTCTTCCTAAAAGAATGTTAAATGTTTTAAACAAGGATCAACTAGCTCCTTTTGAGTCTTGTTTTCTAACTATGTGAGTCCAAAGTAGCTTTCATAATACCTCTGAGATCTCGACTAGATGCCCAGATATGGAACAAGGATTTCACTCTCTGGCTGTTTGGAACACTGATGTCTTCTTGTTCTGTGTGATCTCTGGGATTGTTTACCTCACAATCCCATGATCATTATTTTAACAAACTTGTGGTCTTTCACTGTAAGGCATGCCAAAATTAGTTTCAGTCACAAACTCAAGGAAATCTTGTAATGTAATTACTTTAAATGAAAATAGATTAAATTCCCCAAAGGTTGAGATGAGTAGAATGATTTTTTTTAAAAATTACGATCCAAATGTCTGCTGTATGTAAGAGACTCACTCTATCTACACACAGTTGTTTATATTCAGGAAATACAGTGCGAAATGATTGAAAGGGCACCTTTGTAGAAAACAAACAAAAAGCTTGGCAGAAACAAACATGGTTTACTAAGTAGAGCTTGATAAGAGCTTCCTTTGGGATCTATTCGGGGTTCTGTGGAATCATTACAGGAGGCATTGAATCAACAGCAAGGAATGTGGGGAAGAGAGTGAGATTCCCCTGAGATTTAAAGTATGAAAATTAACTGGACAAGGAAAACAATCTATTTCTCTGTGCATTTTAATGAATCTTTGCTCTGGAGCCAAGAAGAATGGCATTATAATTTTTTTAGAGATGTCATCAAGTGACATATGCCTCAATCATAGTTTATTAAAATAATAATTCTTATTGGATTATTGGATATTAGATACTAAGTTTGCACTTATTCTTTAAGACCCTTTGGAAGGCATTTTTCACTTCTTTGTTCCTTAAGCTGTAGATCAAGGGGTTAAGCATGGGAATCACTAAAGTATAAAACACAGAGGCCATTTTATCTGTATCAAAGGAGTGAGTGGAGTTGGGCTGCATATACATAAATAGTAGAGACCCATAGAACACCACCACCACCATCAGATGAGAACCACATGTGGAGAAAGCTTTTTTCCTGCTCTCTGCAGAACACATTTGAAATATCGCTATCAGGATCAGTATGTAGGACATTAGGATGATCAGGAGGGAAGAGATCAAATTAAATGCTGAAAACAGTATGATCAACAATTCTATTTCTTGTGCATTTGAGCAGAGCATAAGTAACAAGGGAATGTCATCACAGTAGAAATGACTGATGACATTAGAGCCGCAAAAAGTCAGTGTAAAAATCTTAATAGTAAACATGAGTGCCTGAAAGGTACTGTAGAGATATGGAATGCCTACCAGCATATAACAAAGTCTCTGGGACATGATAACATTGTACAGCAGAGGGTTGCAGATAGCCAAGTAGCGGTCATAGGCCATGGCCGACAAGATAAAAAATTCACTGATAATGAACATAAGGAAGAAAGCCAATTGTGTGGCACATGCATAATAGGAAATGGTATTTTGATCCACAACAAAATTCACCAGCATCTTGGGACAAATGACAGTAGAATTACCAAGATCAATGAAAGCCAAGTGTTTGATAAAAAAGTACATAGGTGTGTGTAGCCGGGAATCCACTTGAGTTAAGATGATCATGCCCAGATTTCCCACCACTGTGATTGTGTAGATGATGAGGAAGACCCCCAAAAGGGGAGCCTGAAGTTCAGCCTGCTTTGTGACCCCCATCAGAATGAATTCAGTCAGTGATGATCGATTCTGTTGGTCCATTTAATCCAGTTAGCTTTTCTGGAAAGAAATAGGTTAATTTTCCCGTGATGTAATTTAATTAAGTATAATATTTTTAGAGAGAGTAGATATTTTATTTCATGATAAGGGATAGAAAAGTAATTTCCATATCTTATTTTGAAACTAAAATAAATGACAGAATCTTCTACTTTCCAAAAAGAAGAAATCATGGAAATCACATGCACTGTTACTACAGATTAAATAGAGTCAGTGATACTTGGAAAATATCCATTTATTAAAAAAAAATACCATTTAGGTATTAACATAGAAATATAGACTTTATTTCATCTATACAAGGATATCACATTTTTATTTAGTACACTTCCACTTTCATCTGAGATTTGGACTTCTCAAATTGCACAGTATAGTATATATTGTACACTTGTACAATACAAAGCATAACACCATAATTTTTAAAATGTTTCAGTGTTAAGTGCTGCCTTCTGCATTTCATAAAATTTACATGGGCTTCCCTGGTGGTTCAATTGGCAAAGAATCTGCCTGCAATGCAGAAGACCCAGGTTCAATCCCTGGGTGGAGAAGATGCTCTGGAGGAGGAAATGGCAATCCACTCCAGTATTCTAGCCTGGAAAATCCCATGGACAGAGGAGCCTCATAGGCTACAGTCTATGGGATTGCAAAGAGTCAGATACTTAGTGACTAAATCACCAATCAGTAAAAACAATTAGAACTTCTCTTAGCTTAATCCATCTGGATTCCCTTTCTCTCAGTTTCTTCTTCAGCAAAATCTGGAACACTGTAAACATGACTTTCAATTGGAGGACTAATTCAAGTTCAAAAATCTCAATCAGATAAAATATAGGATAAAATTATTATAATGTAGTAGAATGCTCAACTTTAATCTGAGACATCCAAATGGGCAAAGGCAGAAACTTCTATCAGGTGAAACTTCTGGATTCTGTCAATGAAAAAATTAATCAGTTGATCTAAGGATAGAAAATCTTATTTGAACCAGACTAAGGATTATGTGGAATTCTAGTTGAGCTAATTCAAATCCTGAAAGCTGATGCTGTGAAAGTGCTGCACTCAATATGCCAGCAAATTTGGAAAACTCAGCAGTGGCCACAGGACTGGAAAAGTTCAGTTTTCATTCCAGTCCCTAAGAAAGGCAATCCCAAAGAATGCTCAAACTACCACACAATTGTGCTCATCTCACACGCTAGTAAAGAAATGCTCAAAATTCTCCAAGCCAGGCTGCAGCAATACAAGAATCTTGAACTTCCAGATGTTCAAGTTGGTTTTAGAAAAGGCAGAGGAACCAGAGATCAAATTGCCAATATCCACTGGGACATCGAAAAAGCAAGAGTTACAGAAAAATATCTATTTCTGCTTTATTGACTATGC